GGTAAGACTTGAACTTATTGTAAATCCTGCGAGATCCGTTTTCATAGCTTTAATATTCTAAGAGTTACAGGGCGAAAGGTTTAAAAGTCCCCCAGGTCCAAGCTTAAGAAGCAATGCTGATGTCACCATTTTTGTCCTAGATTCAACTATATTTATTAAAAATAGAAGCGGACAAACGGAGGGGTTAAGAGAAATAGAGAAAAATGAAAGAAAAAAAGGCACTATTTTATCACAGTTTACGGCAAATGAAAGAGTCACATTTAAACCAAAACAGAATATTTACCTGAAGTCATTTTGCACGTTTTTCCATCTCCTATGTAAGGCTGATCACACGAACATTTGTAGGACCCTACAGTGTTTGTACATGAAGCTGAACTATGGCAGTCGTGTACACCGCTGACGCACTCATCGATATCTGTGGAGGAGTAAAGAGGAACACAACAAATTAAAGAAGGCAAAAATCAGTTGTTTTGCACACAATTATAACAAACACTTACAAAAGTGTTTCATACAGTGTACATTGAACACGCAGAAAATACAACCCTACACCTCCTGTGACATTACCTTTTTCGCATTGTTCCCCACTGTAACCATCTTGACATTCGCAGAAGTATCCAGTGGCTGTAAATCCATTTAGACAAGTCTCATTGTGAAGGCATGGGTTACTAGAACATGAGTTCTGAGAAGAAGAGATTGCTCTATTTCTAGACATACAGTTTGCCTTAATTACCTTGGGTGAAAACCAAAAACAAAAATACAGTGGTCAGTTTGATTTGCTCACCTCAGTGCCTCTATACATGAAGCCTTCTCGGGCCTGAAGATCTTTAGGATGCTGTATGTGATCTGCGTCATTCAGTTGACAGAGAACAATGTCTTTAATTGACGGACCAATGTTGAAGGATGCACATTTACTTTCCATGGTACAATAATTGTTACAGCGACTTGGTATGTTTTCCACCAAGTATATGTTTAAAGAAATAGCTTTGATCACATGACCCTGCAGGGCATACCCATCGACTGGTGGGGAAAATTTAAGATGTCGGCAGAGACCTGGGAATGATAATAGTACGTAAATGTATAGTACGTTGTACTCCTTATCTCGTTTCAGCTCTAAGAGCCTATAGTGAGCCCTCAGACGTACATTTCCCTCGGCGTTCTGTAGAAGATTAGATTCCTTTCGCTGGCCATCACTCATTTCATGTCACATGAAGTCCAGCATGTTGGATCAACCATCTTGGCTTTCACTATGCGATAGAAAGTTAACCGAACAATGATAATGAAGTGAAATGAAGTTAAAAAAAGAAAAACTAATTTTGCAATGTTGTTCAAACTGGGATAAACTAACAATTCATTTCAAATTCCAAATAGACGACATTTAGCTTGACATGCCCGCGAAAACTGTGATTGCCGTGTCAGTGTCAAATAACACGGAGACTGAAACAGTTGACATATCAAAATTATTGCGAGTGATGAATAAACAGCTAATGACAGTTTCAGCTTTACGTTCGGACAGTCCAAAGAATCGAAGGGAGATAACTGTTGATCTTAAGTCATACAGCATTCTTGTTTCCCAATATTTGCTTTGCATGCCGGTGACAAAGGACTTGTAGTTAAAACTTGTCCTAACAAGGCAGAAGTTCTGAGGTTTGGCTTGCACGCACACGGGGGTACTCACTACCAGTTATCCATGGAGATGCTAGTCCGCAAGCAGACGTCTATCTACTTTTGCCTTTGTTTGAAGCTCTTGTCACTCAGGAAAAACTGTAGTACGTCTTTAATCCCGGGGAACATTTAAGGATAAGATTGGTGAGATACTTTACAATGTGCAACGGCTGGTCGCTTGGTTGGGCATGAGATAAAAAGCAATATGTGCACATGACAGGTTGACTGATCCTAATTTTAGGTAGACAATTATTTATATCTATTTTCATTGACAAAGCCGGGGAAGACAGGATGACATGTCCAAAGCGTGCTCTGTAAAACGAAGATATAAACGTAGCGATGGCAGCTGATGCCTTGTTCTCTCGAGAAAGGTTTGTTGCGGCTATTGCTAGGCATAGTCTCTAGCTTACTCTTAGTAAATGTAGAAGCCGAGATCTAGAAATGACGCTTTGTTGTGTAGACGTC